TGACACAAAAATTATACATGTTTATGAGGTACCATGTGATGTTCCTATACATGCATACACTGTATAATGTCTAATCAGAGCAAACATTATCTGTCTCCTCAAACATTTAACATTTCTTTATGGTTAAAATATTCAGAACCCTCTTTTTCTAGTTTTTTTAGAGAAATATACAGAATATTGTTGTTATCTAAAGTCACCCTACTTTGCAATAAAACACCAGAATTTCTTCTTTCTATCTAACTATAACTTAGAATAGTTAATCAAGGTTTTCTCAACACTCTCTACCCCTCATTTTGTGTTAATCCTCACACAAATACCTAGCCAACACGTCCAATTCCCCAGCCCAACAGTAAGGCAACTTTCAGCCTCAGGTATCTGTGTTCTCAACCTTTTTTTCTTTTTTTTCCTTTTCTTTCTTTTTTTTTTTTTTTTTTTTTTTTTTTTTTTTTACATGCAGAGTGGACAGTGAGAGAGAGAGACAGAGAGAAAGGTCTTCCTTTGCCATTGGTTCACTCTCCAACAGCCGCCGTGGCCGGTGCACTGCGGCCAGTGCACCGCGCTGATCCGAAGGCAGGAGCCAGGTGCTTCTCCTGGTCTCCCATGCGGGTGCAGGGCCCAAGCACTTGGGCCATCCTCCACTGCACTCCCGGGCCACAGCAGAGAGCTGGCCTGGAAGAGGGGCAACCGGGACAGAATCCGGCGCCCCGACCAGGACTAGAACCTGGTGTGCCGGCGCCGCAGGTGGAGGATTAGCCTATTGAACCACGGCGCCGGCCCTGTGTTCTCAATCTTGATGCTCCTGTGTAAACAGATAACAATCACTTTCAAGACTGGCCTTTATAGACCATGCTGGTCTTGACTGCTGCTAATTTTAAAGCCATATCTTGTTTTTAAAATTAGAACAAGGTTTCTCCAGTTATAGTCCCTCAACATTTTACTTTAGTATCAGCCGTCTTACTCCTGAGCATTTGTTTCTTGGCTCCACCTATGTCTTTCTTGGCTCCACCTATGTCCTCTTGAATTTCTTAAGTTGGGGCCTAATCTGATGAATCTAATGGTAAGTCTAGGATTCTGATGAATCTAACGCTAAGTCTAGGATTTAAATGCAGGAATCAAATGCTAAGTCTAGGATTTAAATGCAGTAAGACTAGAATTGCTTGGAAGTTTGCTTGATAGTTTGATAGAAGGTGAAACAGGATTTAGTTCATTCAGTTCAGGTCTGCCAGTGGTATTTCTCAAATACTGTCTATCTTAATTATTGATAATAGCTTTGGAAGTGGCTTTTGTGAGATCTTTGACACCATTGCTGAGGACATGGGGCTCATAATCCATCTGAGGGAAAATAGAAGGCAAGTAAGAGCCCATGCATCTTTTAGGCTAGAGCAAGATAATTGGATAATAAGCTCCTTTTTTGTGAGAGTGTGTTTATTTTATATATACATATAAATATATAATAAATATATATTTATATAAATATATATTTAAATACAGGAATATATTCTATATTTTATATATTATATATGATATAATATATATAGTATTCTGCCACACATACACTTTGTCTCTAGTAGTGCCAAAATTAATAAATATTCCATTGAATTCGGTATATTATGAATGTTTGAAGGCAAGACGTTAGAATATCAATACCCTGAATGGTGGTGATGGTGATAACTTACATTGGTTCTGTGCTCATTCTCAGGTCACATAGTGTAATCAGTGATTTATGTGCATTACCCCAGTGAGTGTTTGCTCTAACCCTAATATAACATTCATGAGTATCCACATTGTAACAGTGGAGAGTATTCAGCTGGAGTTTCAGAGGGAGACAACAGAGGCATTGTGATGTGAGATGCAACCCCTTTTGTCAATTTCTTTATCAGGTTTTTTGTCAAAGAAATTTTTCATAACTTAAAGCATCTATTTCATTTTTTTAAAGCTGGGGCCTAGAAAGATTGATAAAGATTCTGATAGGTAACTGTTGAGGAAGACACTGTGATAAAGGAAAAACAGAAACTAAAACTCTTAAGTCCTAGGTTTATGATTCAGGTTGCATTTAGCAGCTCTACAAGTTTGAGTAAGACCCAAAGTATCTCTAAGATTCAGTCCCCTGATCTGTAAAATGGGTATAATACTGCTACACACCAGATTGTTGCAGGCATCAAATGAAGACATATAAAACACTATAAAAACATACAGTGCTGTTGCTGTTATAGATTGTTCAAGATGTAAACCTCTAAAAACATTGCTATTTTGAGTCATGCTTTAAAGAGGGAAATAAATACAGAGTGATTAAATCTTATTTCTACATTCTCACAGATTTCTGTAATCTGATATAGTCCTTGGCTGAGGGAATTGAGACTTGAGGAGGTAAAGTAACATGTCACAGTTTCACAGCTAATAAGTAGCTAAGCTGAAATTTCAAAACTATTTCTGCCTGATATTAATGCTGTGCTGTTTCCACTATTCCTGTTTCTCTGTTAATTTTTTAAAAAGCCAATCCATATATTTTTTCTTAATATTAAAAAAAAGACATGTTTGAAAACTCACTCATCCTGATAATTCCCAATTAAGATGTTGTCATCTAGCATCTGGCTCAATTTCCTTTTATGAAATATAGTAAACATAATTTGAGTGTAGCTTAAATGAAGTGTCCAAATGGGATAAAACAGTTCACCTGGGAAATTAGATTTTATAGATTACAAGATTTCAGTGCTTAAGTTGGACTTAATAGACATAATTTTTTAAAACAAAATTCATCAGGATACAATTGATTGGTCTAAAATTCTATCATTATTCCTTTATGAGACATTTAGAGCATGAAACAAAGTAAAAATAAATAATATAACTTCCCCCAAAGTAATACAGAAGAACTTCTCCGTTATCGTGGATTTGAGATTCACATGAAAAACACAGGAAGATCTTTGGTTCAAGCCAATTTTTTTCCTTCTACATTGTTTGCAAAAGTATACTTTTTTTTTTTTTTTTTTTGACAGGCAGAGTTAGACAGAGAGAGACAGAGAGAAAGGTTTTCCTTCCGTTGGTTCACCCCCGAAATGGCCACCACGGCTGGCTCTGCGCTGATCCAAAGCCAGGAGCCAGGTGCTGGCTCCCATGTAGGTGCAGGGCCCAAGGACTTGGGCCATCCTCTACTGCCTTCCCGGGTCACAGCAGAGAGCTGGACTGGAAGAGGAGCAACCGGGACATAATCCAGTGCCCCAACTGGGACTAGAACCCTGGGTTGCCAGCACCATAAGTGGAGGATTAGCCAAGTGAGCCGCGGCACTGGCCACAAAAGTATACTTTTTAAAAGATCATTTGATAAAAAAAAGAACATTTTCTAGCCCTGTGTGTGTGTGTTTTTTTTAAGGAAATGTTTCTGAGAATACTACATATATATTTAAGCTTTCATCCTGAAATAAAATCTTTTAAAGAGATAGGCTCCACTATTAAATTTGGTTATTGAGCAGTTAGCAGAGGGACTCATCCTTTTCTAAAAAGTAAACTTATTTTTAAAATAAAGGGGATAGGATGGAATTAAGGATCAGTAAGGGGACCGGTGCCGTGGCTCACTTGGTTAATCCTCCGCCTGTGGCACCGGCATCCCATAATAGTGTCAGGTTCTAGTCCGGCTTGGTCCTCTTCCAGTCCAGCTCTCTGCTGTAGCCTGGGAGGGCAATGGAAGATGGCCCAAGTCCTTGGGCCCCTGCACCTGTATGGGAGACCAGGAAGAAGCACCTGGCTCCTGGCTTCGGATCAGTGCAACACCAGCCATAGTGGCCATTTGGGGAGTGAACCAATGGAGGGAAGACCTTTCTCACTGTCTATAACTCTACCTGTCAAAAAAAAAAAAAAAAAAAAAAAAAAAAAAAAAAATCAGTAAGTGTGAGGATATGGTGAATTTGGAGGTTTTGGGTTAAATATGTTAGGAAAACACTTTTGAGCATAAGTCATATCCTAATGAGTAACTTAAATGATTTTTCCTGTGGTAGTTAAATTCATCTGTTTTGGAGTTATATAACCTGGGATTCATTTCTAGGTCTGCCATTTCCTAATTTTGTGATTTTAGGCAAGTTGCTTCAGCTCTTTTAGGCAGTTTTCTCATCAGTAAATTAGGAATAATAACTGCCTCATAAGATTGTCATGATGATTCAGCATAATCATCAATAAGTGTCAAAGCATTATAGATGTTTTTGATATTATTATTTTGGTAATATATAACTTTTGGTGTTAGATTTTTCTATGACATTATAAAGCAAATTTTAAGACTTTTAACTACTTAAGAGCTTTTCCACTATAATATATTCATGAACTGGTGAAAAAAACCCACAGAATATGTATTCATATCACGTGTCAAATCACTTTTCTTTGAGAGACATTAAAGTAGTTCCTAAAACCAAAAGATTATGAAATCAATCCTTCTAGTAAATAATGACAAGTTTATACATATTTTCAAAAGTGCACAAATTTGTACTCATTGTAGGAGAACATATCGATTTGTGTGTGTATTTCAAGTAACCATCTTACGCATGCTGTACCCCTGACCGATAGCATTCTCCCTTGGGAAAGTGGCTTCTCTAATTGCAGTGAATGGTGATTCTATTTGCAGACATTATTTCCTACAGTATGCCTTCCTTTCCGTGATTATCATTTAAAAATACCTGTCCTCAAATTACTTAGTCTTGGCTATAAAGGAGAAAAATCTTCAGCAGTATAAGAATCTCACCGATAATACATATCTAAGTTTAGAATGTGTAAGTCTTACCAATAAAGTTAATCTGTGTTTCCTACAGCACAGGGACTAAAAGAAGTGTTTCAAAACTCAAGACTTTCAAACTACTACTTAGGCACATGTTAAAAAAAAAAGGGGGGGGGGACATAAGTATTAATATCATGTGAACTGCCACAATGGTTTTTTCTCTTTTTTTCCTCATGCTATTTCTTGTTTATAAACAAAAACATGATTTTCACACCAATAGAAAATCAAGAGCAAGAAGACTTACCTTCTTTCAACCAAGAAATATTATTTTTATCATTTTCAAAATGCTCAGATGTTCTTACTTTTATCTTTTCCAGCTCAGTTTCTGACATCTAAGTGAGAAGATAATTTATGATATTAAAAATTTATTAAGAACCAAAGCACTGATTTTTATATTTGGGACTACTTCCATATTATGGTGAAATCTTATCTATATAGATTTCAGTTCACTGTCTTATTTTGTCTTACATTTTATCCTTTTGCCATTTTAAAACTTTGACAGTGAAAACTAAACTTTATGACATTTCATTGTTCAGCAATAAACATTGCTTTTAGATCTTGCAATTTCTCAACATAAAAAAATAACATTAACAACTAGCCATGGATTTTTAACAAAAAAAAAACCCCAAACATTTAGTTGCTATTTTTGTGTAGCCTGTAGAAAAGCAGTCTGCAAAGTGATATACAAAGATACAAGTAATAAAACACAAAAGGACCCTTTCAGGAATTTATTGGGTGAGATGAGAACCTTCTGACCTAAATCAGGTCAAGTTGAACTCCCTGAAGGTGTTGAGGAGACTTATTAGGCACCTTTAGTGCAATGCATTTGACTTTCAAGACTGGCTTACATGAATTCTCCCCTTGAATCAGCACCACATTGTACATACCTGTGTGTTCCAATAGAAGGATGCCCAGGGTGTGGGACTGGGGAGCAGTGTCTTGCAGCCTCCCTTGTCTCTGGATGTCCAGCATTCCTCTATCCTGACAGAAGTGAGTGAAGAAGCAAATGCACTCCCTCCCTGGGTGGTGCTAGATTTGTAATGCTGCCAGAAGCATCCAACTTGCGGCTGAAAGGTTTGTTTTTTTTTTTTTTTTTAAGGTAATATAAAACCTGTGGTTCAAAACAATAAAATCCTTCTCCAGAGTAGCACTTATTTAAAATGACACTGTGCAAACTAGGGTAAAAATAATAAATTCTTTTCAAGTGGACAAAGTTTCTTCCATCCCCATCATTTCATACTCACTATTCATTATCCAAGATTCATATCAAGAGATGCAGAAAAATATACTGAAAAATATATACAGATTATTGGATTAAAATAGAAGGGAGAGAAACCTTAAAAGCTCTGTTCTCTGGAAGTTTATCCTGTAACCAATATTTTGAAAAGCAGTTTTTCCCTTAACATTTACAAGCAACAAGAAAACATTTCAAGTTCTTTTCAGCATCTGCAGGTATTCCAAAGGGGATATGAAATAACATTCCAAAGAGGATTTATCATTAGATTCTTAATTAAAGATAATGGTATTTTCCACAGAAAATTAAAAAACATAAATGTTGGTTGTACATGATGATAAAGAGTCTGCCATTCCTAAATTTTGTCAGTTTTTTTTTCATCATGGAAAATACTATTTACTTTTTGTCCCAAGGTGATTTGCCTCCTCCAGAGGTCTGTTACTTGATTGTCTTGTATCCAATTTTTTCCCACTTCATTTTTACTTTACTTCATTTTTGTCATTATCTTTAAAATCTTCCTTGAACAGCCAATTATACTAAAATAACTTTCATTTCCTCTCATTAATAATAAGATAAATTTCAGAATATTTAGACAGCTGAGAAAGACCTTGAACTGACATATTCTATACTTTGGTTTTTAAAATGTAGCCCACGGAGTCTTAAGATTTCTTATAGGTTCCTAACTTTTTACTCCAACCTAATTGTGTTGCTGCTGTTTCTCGAACAAATCTGCTTCTGTTATTAACATTCTTAGAAAAGTTTCGTCAAAATTCCATCTCTACCCCCACCTTGAAAGCCTTTTGATCTTTCTCATCTGGAAGCCATTTTTTCCTTCTCTGATTCCAGTTGGGGCTCTTGGTATGATCACTCTCCAATTTAGTCATCTGTAAGCTTATCTTTCTGACAAGACTATAGTCCACCAACCCTAGCCTGGGTATTTATGTGCCTTGCTCATTGTTTGCACTTACAAACTAATAATTGTTGTATCAATACAACTAATATGTCAAAAACTGATGATGCTGTTTTCCTTTGTTTCAAAATCATAGAATACATGTGATAACCAGGTTCCTTTAGTTTGTCTTTTGTCTATAGCTGTAGAGTTTGACATTGCTTCCTCATGTTTTGAGACCTAATCTAATTTCCTTAATAGTGTAATCTTGTCCTTTGGAAAAGCAAATTATCTAAATTTTACATATGTATTAGTGGGTCCAGAAAGACATTTAGTAAATCATAGTCACAGTGTTAAGCATAAGTAAAGACAATGCAGGAACTAAAGGAAATCTGATAAAACTAGATGAGAAAAGATTATTAAGTAACAACAAAGTAAATGAACCATGAGCTGAGTTCAGCATATCTTCTAGTTTATTTTAATATTAGAACATCTGGTTTATTTGCTAATATTCCACAAAAGAATTTTTTTTTTTTAGATTTCTGAAATAAATTTGGATCTCTGAAGGTTACAAGTTATGTAATTACTTACCAATGGAAATAAAACAGGCTCTATAAAAAGATTGATATAATGATTTTTACTGAGTCTTGGAAGCTATTCCAACGTGATCAAATTCTTTTCAAAATTTATATATTCCATGACAGCCAATTTTCATTTATCATTATAGAATGAGTATACATTGACTTAGCCGAAAAAAGGCTAGCTTTATGTAAGAAGGAGCCACTTTCCCACAGGTTGGAGATCATTTTCCTTAGAACACGACTGGTTATCAACACATTTTAGAGAAAGAATATGTTGAAAAGAAGGCTACTTAGGGGCTGGTGCTGTGGCATAGCAGGTGAAGCCACCACCTGTGGTGCTGGCTTCCCATGTGGGCACCAGTTCAAGTCCCGGCTGATCCGCTTCCAGTCCAGCTCTCTGCTATGGCCTGGGAAGGTAGTGCTGGATGGCCCAAGTCCTTGGGCCCTGGCACCCATGTGGGAGGCCTGGAGGAAGCTCCTGGCTCCTGGCTTCAGAACGGCTCAGCTCCAGCCAGAGCAGCCATTTGGGGAGTGAACCAGCAGATGGAAGACCTCTCTCTCTCTGCCTCTGCCTCTTGAAAACTCTACCTTTCAAATAAATAAACAAATCTTAAAAAGAAAGACTATTTGTTAATTTTAAGAAGGACGTTTCTGGGGATAAGGAATGTATAGGTAAAAGAATAAAGGATTGCTTGAGTTTGTTCCAGATGTCTAAGAAGAAACAGACCCTATGTACACATCACCCAAGTCAAATTGGCCTGGTAGATATGATTAATAGCTTTGTCCTGACACTCTTCAAACAGTTCTCAGTAGGTGTTTCCTTTGAATGTTTTGCAAGCATTTTTGGGATTGTTTGTTCTCAGTCTTCTCCCATGAACTTCCTAAGACAGAGAAACCATTGCTACCCATGCTTCCAGGTTCATTTTGAAACCTTTCTGTAATTCTGTGATCATTTTTATGCATTTTATATTCATGTCCAGCTATACTACTTTCTAATTTTCTGTCCCAAGAGCAAAGCCATTACTAAAATCCTTGTCCATATTTCTCATTTTCTGGTTGTATTTTATCCTGTGATTATTCATGCATGTTTTCCAGATATTTACTTTTTACTATGATTGTTTGAGGCCTAATATTAAGTCAGTTATGAACTATAAAGTGCTTGCATAAGATTTTGCTTTGAAAATAACATTTTTATGAAGATAGTGCAATAACAAATTTGGAAATAATAGCTAATTTTGACAAATGTATTTTCAATATGTGTTCAGTCCTAATACTTGGAAGTTTTCAGTTGTTCTGCTTTGTAAGTCTTCTCTGCTTGGGTTTCACTGCCCTGTAGTGTCATGTTTGCCCTTCAAATTGCCTTTTATTCTTAAATAATAAGTGACATTTCTTGAATTTTTTCTATGGATTTTTTTTTGTTCTGTAAAGCACCATTTTTCAAAGTTAGACAACTCCTTTTGAATTGTACTACTGTCTCTATAAGTATTTGTGATTAATCTTCATCACAGCTATAGATTTTAATAAGCATAGTATTCATATTTTATCTGCTTTATCAAAAGAATAGACACCAAAGATTTTTCCTGAATCAACTATTTATCAGTAGTGTCCTTGTTGGACATTACATTAAAGGTATTTTGTATTGATGCCAACCTTTAAACCATTGATTCATCTACCCAGTAATATGCTTGGGCCACATAATTCTCCTTTTGAGTAATGGAGTGTGGTTTGGGTTGGAATTTTAGTTTCTTGAGTTGGAATGGCCTTTTGAATGAATGAGGTAAACCCATAGCTGATGGCTGGGAGTAAAGAGAAACCAAAATCTGATGAACCCCAGACATGGAAGAATGGAAAATAATAGGTGGTCCAACATAATGCTCAAAAGTGACAGGCCAGCCACAGAAGTCAGAACCATTTGGTTAGAATCCAAGGAGAGGAAACATATTTTGAAAAGAAGGCCCTGTCAAATAATGTTCATTGTACCCATGAGCTAAATCAGTTCATATTCATGGACATCTCAAGGCTTCAGTTTTCTTTGTCTTTTTAAAATGGTCATAATTTTAATGTATTTGTTATGTAAGTCTGTTCCTTTTATTTTGACTCAAGTATGAGTATTTCCAATTGCTAGTTAAAATATGAACCAGAAATAGAATCTCAAGGGTGAACTATCCTGCAGAAGGCAATCTTTGCCAAGAGAAGAACCTAGTTGAATAAATGAAGCTAGAGCCTTTTTAAACAAATAATATTGTATAATCATATTTGTCTTTTGATTATCTTTTTTTTTTTTTTTTTTGACAGGCAGAGTGGACAGTGAGAGAGAGAGAGGAGAGAGAGACAGAGAGAAAAGTCTTCCTTTGCCGTTGGTTCACCCTCCAATGGCCTCCGTGGCTGGCGCGCTGCGGCCAGCGCACTGCGCCGATCCGATGGCAGGAGCCAGGTGCTTCTCCTGGTCTCCCGTGGGGTGCAGGGCCCACTGTACTCCCTGGCCACAGCAGAGAGCTGGCCTGGAAGAGGGGCAACTGGGACAGAATCCGGTGCCCCGACCGGGACTAGAACCCTGTGTGCCGGCGCCGCAAGGTGGAGGATTAGCCTATTGAGCTCCGGCACCGGCCTTGATTATCTTAAAAATAACACATTATCAGTTTTAATTCTTTGTGAGACAATGAAATTATATTAATAATGTAGACTATGTTGTTAAACAATATGTAGTTATGTCACCAACTCAGATGATTGAATTTGAGGATTGTAATTTGTACAATAGAACTCTCTGAAGGATTTGTGTATTGAATTCAAGTATAAATAAAATAGTATAGGATGGTGTACTAATCCCTTAAAATTATTTTTTTTGCTACAGAAAACTATTATAGTATAATAAATTAAAAAATTTTCAGTAGCCATTCTAATGACCAAAAAATGCCATCATGTATTTTAGATTTTAATAATTATTTTTGGAATTTTGTGGCCTTGATACAGAACACACATAGTGTAAAAATACATTGGTCCAAAGCATCAAGAACCCATAAACCAAGGAAAATTTCCAAATTTGTAATATAGGCTCTTGCAAGGGGTTGTTAAAAACACCATAAGACAGAGCATTTCAGGAAATTTATTGTGTGTTTAGATGAAGTGTAGACATGAAAAATAACACTCAGGTATAAAATGTATTCAGTAGGTTTTTTTTTTTTTTTTTTTTTTGGACACGCAGAGTTTTTCACTCAGTCAGACAGATAGAAAGGTCTTCCTTCCCTTGGTTCATTCCCAACATGGGCACCATTGCCATGTTTGTGTGCTGTACCGAATTCAGGAACCTGTTGCTTCCTGCCTGTTTTCTCTTCAGGTGCAGGGTCCAAGGACTTGGGCCATCCTCCACTGCCCTCCCAGGCCACAGTAGAGAGCTAGACTGGAAGAGGAGCAGCCATGACAGAATCCAGTGCCCCAACCGGGACTAGAACCCACAGTGCCGGCGCCTCAGGCAGAGGATTAGCCAAATGAGCTGTGGCGCTGGCCTTCAGGAGGTTTTATTTTGTCCTTGTTTCAAGCCATGGCATGTAAAAAAACTGCTAAGCTTGAACTAATTATTTTTATATCTCATAGAGTTGCCTTTATTAACTGAGACCTTGCTGACATTGAGAAATGCAAGAATAAATTTGAATGACTCTTGGTAGTAGGTTTATTTTGAATATTCTTGGTTCCTGTGAAGATTATAGTGTACATCCTTCACTTAATATTGTGTACACAGTGTAAATATTTCTGCAGGTCATATTAAATATAATAACTATAATTTCATGTACACATTCTTTATTGTATTGTTTTCATATGTTTCACATCTACAAATCTTATAATTTCAATAGTAATGTTCAGAGATATAAAGAAGTGATAAGTTGTCTTGTAAAATTTAGGGAAAAAAACCCACTATTTTTGCTCACCTGTATAGTTACCATTTTTAATTCCCTCATTCCTTCTAATAGACTAGAACCTTAATCTGATACTCCTCTCTAGCCTAAAGAACTTTTCTTCAGAAGTTCTTGAAGAGCAGAGCTGCAGGTGACAAACGCACAGCTTTTGTTTGTCTAAAAATGTCTTAATTTTCATTTTTAAAGGCTATTTACTCTGAATGTAGAATTCTTGAATGTCAAGGTTTTCTGTTTTTTATTTTTGTCATTATCCTATCTTTGTTCCTCTGTATCTAGCATGT